CTGAATTTTCATAGCCACATCGGTGAGACCTATCTGCCGGACGAAGGTCTTGTGTTTATCAGAAGCCAATGCTTTCGTCAGGCCGTCGGCGATCATAAGGTCGGTTGGGACGTAGACAACCTCAATATCTCCTGTAACTGCTGCCTGCCGCAGCCAGTGGTTGTGGATATCAACATGACGGAGCTTGGTCTTTAGTGCCATGAGATCACTGTTGATCAGGCGTATAGTCTGCTTGTTATCACACTCCATCCTGACTGCAGTAGTGTCCAAGGACACCCCTAATTCCTTCAGAAGTCGGGACATGAATATCGTTTCTTTAGTGGCCTGCGCAAGCGACAGCAACTCCGCTTCAGTTGTTGAAGTAGTCACTGTGTCTTGCTTATTGGCTCGCCAGCCAATAGTGCCACCAAAGAGCTTCATAATGTATGCTTGAGAACTCTTCCTGTCCAGTGTATTGTCTGCGAATGAAGCATCGCTCGCGGTGTAAAATTCGTCAGATCCTCCAAATTGAAGGGCCAGAGTCCTGGTATTCTTCAGGTACTGAAGAACTCGGTCAGCTGCAGCGTGGTGTTTTGGTCCTGGATTAAGATTGAACCGCGCTAGCCGAGACGCCGCAAATGCGATATCTGGTCGTGTGGCAACTGCGATATACATAATTGATCCGACTTTACGCTGATAGATGTTTATTGTGGCGTAGTCAGACCGCTCTTCGTAGGGTAAGAGCTCTTCGGTTGACATTGGCGTTTCGACGGATCGTTTCTCAGGTTCGGTAGCAAGATTTGAGATTTTGTCCGCATAGTCAGATTGACATAGCCAGATCAGCTTTTGTTCTCGGTCCCGTAGAACTTCGATGCCCAAGAACCACTGTAGGTCATCTCCGCCAGTCAGCTCGTAAGACTGTCGTAACCGTTCCACTGTAGAGAGTGCTACAGGTCGATCCTTCTCATGGAATGCGACGACGGTATCGTCCACGTAGAAGAAGATTAGTATATTCTTGCCAGTATAGCAGCAGGGCTCATGAGGGACTGGCTTGAAGCCATACTTAGCTAGAGTAGATGTGAACTCTTCCTGCCAAAGTAGAGGTGACTCTCGCAGTCCGTAGAGTGATTTGAGTAGCAAGAGTATCGTGCTTCTTTTTCTATAGCCAGGTGGCATTCTCATATATACTGGATGAGGCAGTTTAGCATTAACGAATGCATTGACTGCGTCGTACTGAAGTAATTCCAAATCAAACCTGGCTGCAATTGCGATAAGAGATCCGAATGACTTTCCAGCTAGAGTTGACGCATATGTATGTTCGTATACAGACTTAGCCTGCTGGTCACCACGCACCACGAGGCGCGCTTTACACTTGATAAACCAGCCATGCTTGTCAAACTTGTATACGTACACCCACATACAGTCAAGTACTGGCTGTCCCCTAGGGGTATCACTAGCAACTTCGCGTCATGTGCTCATCTCTCGATGGCTCGCGAGGTGCTGTCTTTCAGCTTCTTGGAACTCCCTCTTCATTGGATGTTCCTCGCGCTTCCCAGGCTGGCCAGTTAGGTCCTTGTGCGTTTTAGGCAAAGGAGGCATCTCACGCCTGTGTACCTTAACTCCAGCCTCCAGCTTCGCTCTGATTGCAGGCCTCTTCAGAGGAATAACTGGAGGACCTGAGGGATCACTGTTTTTCGAAGCAAAGGCTCGGTCCAGCATTCTGGTGACCCTTGCCTTACTGACTAGTTGTCCATTCATCTGGCCAGCTGGGCTTGAGAGTATGCCTGCGTTGAACGCGGCAGCCCATGTTGCTGGCCGGACTTCCGTAACATCTGACATCAGTTGAGGTACCGGTATAGGGGATGCTGTAACATCCCTTATCTCGTTGGTTCCTGAGCTTCGAATTGCAGCGGCCAATAAACATGCAGGCGGAGGCGGTGAGAGAGACGGGGACAGATAGGGGGCGAAAACTGCGGTGGTATAGGGGTGATCAGTCCCTCCAGCGTGCTCAGTTATTTCGGACCCCCCCTGAGCAGGCATCCCTGCCCAGGTCGTCACCTCCTGAGCTGGCTCGTGAGTCTGCTCAGCGGCTTCATCGGTTGCTATCCTTGTGTCCTCGTCCTCATCACCCTGCTCGAACGCAAGCATTGAATCTTGGTCTTGAACTTCGTAGATGTTTTGTACTTCGTAGATACACTCGTCTTCAGCATGTCTGGCAGCTGTTGATTCATGTTGTTTGGCATCCCTGAGCTTAACTCGGTTAAGCAGTGCCTCCATTTCCTCTGTTGATATACCGAGGAGCTCATCCTTGAGTGTCTCTAGCGAACCAGTAAAGGTCTCTTCCTCATTGAAGATAACATCTCGTGTGCTGATCACCTTATTCGTATGAGGATTCCAAATTCGGTAGATGTTGGTAGAGCTGTAGCCGACAAGGTATCCAATCCATGCCCTCGGGCTCAGCTTTTTCATGCGGTTTGACTTCCGAAGTGTATCTGTCGTAAGTGCGTAACACTTACAACCATATACTTTCAGATGCCGTTGGTCAGGCTTCTTTGCTGTGACTGTGGTCCTGTCCCTGTTGGCCACGTAAGTGTAGAAACGCTCATATGGTGACTTCCAATTGTACAAGTACTTAGAAGTCCTGTTGTACAGGTATACACTTGCCTGGTAAATTTCTTTCCAGAGGAAGCTTGGAAGTTTTGAGCTTGCTCTCATAGCTCGCGATTTCTCCTTGACCACACCCCCTAAGCGCTCGGCACCACCGTTCTGGGCTTGTGTATGTGGAGCAGAGGGCTTGACTTTGAGATATCGTGCCTGGAGCCACCCCTTCAGTTTGAAGGATTGTGTGATCTCATTGTCGCACTCGACTGACTTTGGTTTGATGTCGAATTGTCGCTCGAGGATACCGAAAACATCATTCAGTGCTTCAATAATTGACTCTGCTGTCTTGTCTCTCATGTAGTAGTCCCATGAGTATCCGGAGTATCTGTCGGTGAACAGACACAGTCTTGAGAAGCCCTCGTCGTCTTCTTCGAGATCGTGGAAATCCACCGCAATGCAGCTTCCTGGTTCTGTTTCCGGTTCCTTTGGAATCCGGGATACTTGTCACTTAGTCTTGGCGGTGCCACAGCCATCACACTCAGTAGTCTTTGGGCCAAAGGGACCCTTGACCTTGACTCCTTCTGAATGGCTAACCAAGTGCTTCAGTGCCTAGCATAGACCATGCCGGCACTGCGCCCGGCACGTCTCACGTGATGAGACGTTAAATTTCAATCAATCAATCAATCAAGTGGGGATCAGTGAAGGAGAGATGGGCATATAAGGGACAGGACTCCCAGGCATTTCATAGATAGACAGTCTCTACTTCAGTCATCAATCTAAGCATCAATCTAACCCATTGGTGAGGCAAACTGCCTTGACGACTCTATTCCCAGTTACCCTACTCGAATACTTCAGTTACCCCGAGCCCGATACTCCATACGTCAGACCCCGATATTATTGCTGAAGGACTCCGCAGCAGGACTTACTTACTAGCACAAACCCTTACAGACTCTTTAGTGGTTTACGCAGCTAGACTATTAGAGGTTTCGTTACATGAAGTCGGCCTATAGGGCAGAAGTCAGTAAATTGGATAGAATGACGGATGCGGCGCCAGATGATAAAGTCAACTTTATCCGGTGTTATAGTACTGCACGCAAGGCTATAACCGATAAGGTCATTAAATCTGGCTGGAGAACTACTGGAAATTGGCCAATTTCAAGGGCCAAGGCACTACGGTATCCAAAAATCCAGGTAGATGTTGATAAAAGGAGCACTCCACCGCCGCCACAAGCCCCTGGACTTGACAGTGATTCTACACCCCGTTCGAGCCGTCAAATCCGCAACTTTGCGAACAAGTCAAACCCACATAGCCGCTATAGGCTACAGAAGGTTGCCAAGGGGGTTGAAGCCTTAGAGGCAGAGTTGGTAGCCGAACGCACTAAGGCTACGGCATTACAGGAGGAACTAGACCGCTTGAAAAGGGGTAAAAAGCGCAAGTCACTGCCAAATCCGAATCGCCGTTTTATAACAGTATCAGAAGCACTAGCTGCAGGGGAGCCTATACCCCCTAATAACCGTCAAGAACCAGCCAATAATGGGAAAGTTGTGGAAGTTGAGGATGAAGGGGTTGATTCATCAGAATCAGAGGCTACGGCCGATGATTTGCCGGCCGCTGTAGTCATACGAAGTGGTCGTACAGTCAAGAGGTGGCGATATTCTTAAACTCCATAACAATAGCTACATAATGGTATAACTACGGTATAAATAGCTTCAATATGTACGGAATTATGTGTAAGTAAAAATGTAGTGTTTTTGCAGTATTGTGCTCAATTAACGTTACCGGTGGGGTGGTGGGGGATGGTAGAAGAGGAGTTGCCAAAGCAGAGCTCGCGACGGAACGAAAAGTTGCGAAGGCGCGAAATGACTGCCCGCCAAAAAACTATGTTGGATCCAACCATACGAAGTAAGTGGGTGTGACTGAAGACGTTCGGCAACAAACTAGCCGCCTGAAACTAGTTGGAAGGGGTGGAGATCACCTTCGGACAGGGGCTTGCATATTGCCAGTTAAGACACGTTTAAAAAGTCGTCATGTTTGCAAAAGCTGACCGGCGTCACGCCAGGCTGCAGCAACAAAAACTTGTGAGCAGATGTATTTCCAAATTTGCCGACAAAGCTCATCACCCATCTCCCACTGGTCGATTGCTGCACCGACCCAACAAGACCGGGGCGACGATCACTAATGAAAGACTGACACGAATCGGGATTCCACTTCGGGATGGCTGCGCCAAGATACGCGGCCGCAACGACTACGTTGACTATGTATTGTAAATATTAGAGTAACCACTCCGCACGTAACACATCGCAAATTTGACAAGCCCCGTTGAGTATAGTGTTGTCGATGCAAACCGCAGCATCCCACGAGATATGACGGAAACATATTGCGATCGAATCAACCGCTCGTAAAGCTAGTCCGCCGCGGAGTAAACTTGATGTAATTGGTTGCTATTTTGTGAATTTAGACGTGTTATTCCTCTTATGTCAACGGTTACCTGCAATCTATTCCCGCCTGCCCTTTTCGAGGCAATCGATTATTGATGGGGACTTGGTACTGTTGTACTTAGGCGCAATGGGTTCCTTGATTGTTTCCTGGCAGTCGAACTGCGACCGTGAGAAAAGAACACTTAGCTGGTTAGTGCCTGGATTTATGGCTTCAGGAGTGACCAAGAGGGCCGCCGAAAGGCCCCCGGTGGGTTTTTGGAAATCGATATGTAGCTTCACGAGCACTCAGGGTCGGAGGACTGACACTGCCCTCACCTCACCACACCTTCACACCTGAAAAGACGACGGTGGCAAGTACGTATCCTATGGCACTCGCAAAGTACGGCAAGCCCAGCGACGCACTTCCCATGCCAATGCCCTGCATCCAGAGAACCACCATCAACGGCGCCCCAAAAAGCGAACCAATTGTCTTGACCATCATGACCATGGAAAATATATGTGTCTCAGGATCCGTTGTGTCGCCGAAGCGGTCATCCTGCTTCGGCGTCACGGCGGGCGATTTCAGCAGGGAAAGTGTAAATACGGGCAACGCCGAGCCGAGGGCATAGATGAACAATGATGGCACAAGAAGCCAAACCTTAGCGGAAAGTGCGATGGCCAGTGCTCCCAAGACTGACATCAAGAGACATAGGTTGGCGTAGCGGATGTTGACTTGATCTGGAGACTCCCCTTGCGGATTGAGGCGACAAGATGCATGTCTTGCCCGAATGAGTCTAGGAATGATGACGGCGAGTAAGGTCAAGTTGACCACTGCCTTGCCTGATAGCAAGTAGCCTGCAGATGCGAATGGCCAGTGATAACGCTTGGAGATGTACTGGGCCAGCAGCTTGGTGTCGGAACTTGCCAAGGAAGTTAGGAGGAAGAAGATAAGCAGCAAATTCAAGTTGCGCGGTTGACTGCTTAAGATAGACCGCAACGCCTCGATGCGTTTAGATATCGATCTCAAGATGGTCTGGTCAGATGATTGCGCTGTCAAGATTGAGGATGAGATCAGCGGGTGTGAATCCTCGTCACCGCTGGTCGAAGGGCTGGAGTTCAGTACACCGGAGTCGCTCGGGAGAAGCAAAATGGTCGGAATAGCAAGTAGCAACAGGGTTATCCCCAGCCAGAAAGGCAGCCAGAGCAAAACGGTCATCGAAGCGGATGCAAGAGCTGGACCGGCCAGGGCGACAACGTAGGATACAGAACTCATCCACCCAAAATAAGTAGCCCTGCCAAATGTATTAATGGCAAGTGTTCAAATGTGAAGGTAGAATACATCCATGACGTACCGCAAAACGTTGTCATCAGTGATGCCGGCGGCGAGAGAGTAGGTGATGGAATTGAAAACGCAATCGCCGCCTAGTATCGACAGAGTCGGACCGGCAATAAAAGCTTTGGTCGGCAGGCTTTGTTCGAAATACCCTACGATAACAGCCCAAGCTAGCATGAAAATGCGAGGGACGAGATTGAGCCACAGAATGGTTCGTTGACCGTATTTCTCCGCCATAAAACCCAGCGGTATTGTCATGACCAAGTCTGCTTCTAATCAATATTGAAGCCTTGCTTCGGGGGCAGCACTTTTACTCACCCCCAACAATCCATGTTGTCTCCATAACACCTTGAATCCAAGCTAAATCCTGTTGCACCTCGTCAATCTTGCACAGCTCCTCGGCAACATTCCCTTCGCGCCCAATCGCGGAAGGATTATGTTGGGTGTAGTATTCGCGACACAGTCTCCGCTCAATGACGCGGTTCAGTGGGAGTTGATACAGGCTGATCGCAAGATTGACAAGAAGGAGCAGCCCCAATAGAGCGCCAACGGCCACCTCTCGTGGCACTGAACGATGACAGCCGTGGCGCACATTCCTGTCGGCCTGGGCTTGGGCTTCTTCAACGCTGTCGGCATCCATCAGAGCGCAGCTGGTATTCATGTTGTCTTGATCTGACGTTCATGAGCATCGCTGGAAAGTATGCATTTACAGGTGGGCTGCACCTGGTGCGTGCCGTCAATTGTGGGACGTGCGGGTTGGTGCTTCTACAGGTGTCAAACACTCCGCCTTAACCCCCTTTTGCACCGCACCACTATTTACAACAAATTTCGACTAAAATAGGGTACCTTCAAACCTTAGTAGATAATACAGTAAACCCTGTATTTAGCGGATCGGGATTAAGCGGATTCCTATGGGATTGAGCGCTATACTTATACCCTAGGCCAAAGGCGGTGTAGCGGTAATTATAGTCTAGTAGCGTTAGACCCTTCCCTAGAGTATAAAATAGTAACGTATATAGCTAATAGAATAGTAGAGAGATATACTAACTAAGATAGGATCTATATAGAGTTATTAATAAAGGACTAAATCCCTTATAGTAATATCTCATCGTTATTAATTAACTAATAATATTAAATACGCCGTAGGTGTTAACCCTCGGTGTTACACGCAAAGGTGGTCAAAGATTTGTGAGGTTGTAAAAGCATCACATTCTATCTAGTCCTATGGAGCACGAAGGCTGGACTTAGTCCCGAAGGGCTAAGTCACGTGGTAACCTTGGTGGTCTTGGCAAAGCCCACCAAGGTTGCCTAACACTCGGTACCTCTACAAGTACTCCCTTAAGGGGCTATAGATGATATAGCGGGCCCTTAAGCCGCGTCGGGCGGTTATACAGGTAAACTTGTAGCCAAACGACTACTAAACCTCCTGTCCCTCCCTAAGTCTGTGCTACAACCCCTGCCTGAACTACCGATAAGCGTGGTAATGTGGCACTTAAATTCGTCCTCAGGGGTGGGATGCTGCTGATGTGCAGAAGATGCTCGACTATTTTTTGTCGCGACAAGTCGTAGTATCTGCTAATTGGGGTTCTCGTCGAGCGTATACATCTCAACCATACGCTCAAGTGGATAGACCGTAACGTGGTCTAGACGCTCGCAAGAATCGCGGCGAGAGGGCGTGCTGCGCGCCTTCTATCGTGAGGGGACGGGTTCGCCGACGAGCGTTATCGGATAGGCGAGGTCCGATAAGGGGTCGGATTAACGATTCGAATTCTGGACCGGCTGTCGAGTTATATTCCGCCGACGTAGTGCTTGACGGTCGACTGGCTAGGATGCTCGTAATCCTAAACTGCACCAATCTCCCTATTATCGCTAGGTAGGCGAAGTCAACAAGGTGGGCAGCGCGCCGTAAGGGTTGACTAAACCCCCTTGTGTGTCAGCTGCGGGATTCGAACCCGCGACTCGTCACCGACCCAAGTGGGCGAGGCTCAAATCGGGACTTATCTACCAGCGAAGTGACGAAGTGACCAACTACACCAGCCGACAAGCAAATCCAATATGGAGGAGCACTTAGTATAGGTGATGCACGTTTTACGGGCCTTGAGGGGTGATATCAAGGTTATGGAGGAGGAAGAAGGGGAAAGCAGTCGTCCTGTAAAGCGCCGGCAGACCGGTATAAGGCGCTGTGGTATTTGCGGAGGGACTGGACATAATGCAAGGACTTGTTCAATAGAAGTAGAAACTGATAATGAAGAAGATTTTGAGTAATTTAAAGGATAAAATGCGGGTTATGCATAGGATATTACTGAATTACTTGAAGGTGCCAAGAAAAGTGCGAAAGTGACTTGTGTGCGAAAATGACTTGTGGATCACGTTAATATTAATTCTAGTATATTATAGATATTTATAGCCTTACGACGACTTAATTCTAGTTCTTTTCAGATAGCTTAGATAGGTAGGTTTAACTTAGCGTCTTTCAAATTAGATTACATAATTAGTCGTGGAGAGATAGGTTCTAAACGTTAAGGGAGCGTATTTTAGGGAAAAGTGCGCTACTCGCTTAGGTGTGCGACTCGCTTATGAAACACGTTACATGCAGTCGTAATCACCGCCCACCCTAGTTCAAAACACCAGAATCAGCCAGAGGAAGACGTGTGATGTTGGAACAAATCGGTGCATGGGTATGGAAACGTGAGATCGATATTGTTTCCAGCGATTCTAGATCGTGGTCATATTAATCACAGAACGATCCAAATAAATTCAGCTTGGGATAAATGGTATAGTTGAGTGAAGTGATCATTAATTACACTGAAGATACTTCAGTGATAAGATGAAACCCCCTCCGACACTATCCACTAGTATACGGGCATGAAGAATGCATCTAAGTCATAATGCCAGCTATCGATCGACTTCTGATCATACTGGCACTCCATCTCGGTACCATTTCCGGACCAGTAAGGCCTCAACGGCCACGAGCAAATCTGCTGGGTTTCCCCCTTATTCTCACCCTGCAGCACAGTCCCATTCAAAGTGACAGGCTCATCGCCATTCTCCACCCAGTCGATGAGCACCGCCAAGGTGGTCTGGGGCCAAGGTCCATTCGGTTCCGCAGAATTCGCTGAACAGTGAGCACCACCGGGAACCAAAAAGAGCCGGTACCAATCGTTTAGGGCCTCGACACTCTCGTTGTATGATTGGCCAGGGTACATAACTTGTCGAACGGACTCAAAGTATCGGACTGAGGAAGCGGTCGGTATACTATCGTCGGATTCGCCATGGAAGTGGATGACTTTGCCGCCGGCCTTTTTGAAAGGTGTGAGATCCGGCCAGTTGGTCATGAGCGTATCCGAGTACCGATTCCAGCCCTCGTAGATCCAGTCCCTGAGTGTGTCGTATGTGACCCCATCGAGACTGGGAAGATTGCTGCCGTTCTGCAGGTTCAACAAGACCTCGGGGAAAGAGCCGCCAAGCGATGTGATGGAAAGCTCCCACTCCTGGGACGTCTCGTTCCAAACCGTTGTTGCGTCATTGAAAGACGAGCTTGTCGTGTAGGAGAAATAAACACGTTTGCCGTCGGTGTCGTGAAGCCCATCCAGAATCTTCTTGGCTACCGCCACGCCCTCGGCTGAAACGGTGCCATTTTGCTCTGGCGTGGCGGCAGCATACGCGGATGCAGCCGCGGGTGCGCAGTAGTAGTTAAGGCCGATAACGGCATCGATATCGTAGTTGAAGGAGCAGAGGTCAGTTCGAGAAACCACACCATCTGTCCTGCCATCAAGAGCATCACAAGCCAGGAGGGTTTCGTTGAAGATCTTCTGCAGCTCACAAGGTGGTGGATAGTAGTTCTCTGTCTGCTCCACGACGTTGGAGTACAAGTGCTGAACCTGTTGGAATGCGAAACGGAATGCAGGTGCTCCAATAGCCGCACCATCGAACTCATCACCGAAGCGTTGCACTTGGCTCCAGCCTTCACGGCCACCTTCCGAACAGCCCTGGTAGTATGAGTATAGCTTAGCTTCCTCGGTCATGTTGAAGAAAGTCTTGGTGAAAGCCTTACCAACTACACCGAGTTCATGGATGGCTTGGTAGCCAAACATGAAGATGTTTTGCCAGTCCATGGTGCCGTTGGTCACAAGGAACGTGCTGATAGCGTTGTGCTGGAAAATCCCAAACCCGCCGTCCGTTTTGCCGGCGACGGCCCCGTAGATGATACCGCCGGGGAGAGATTCATCATCGGAGTTGATGGCATAACCCCCACCACCCGTCGAGAGGTAACGGTTCTGGAACTTATTGGGGTCTGGAAGCCAGTAGGTCAGGAGCACCGTATCGTTCAGGCCAACGTGAGAGTAGGTGAAAGTGACGTTGCAGTAATCGAACACGGCGTCAGGATAAAAGGTTTGATCCGAGACGGAGACGTTAGTTACGGGGTTGGCCGTCACCGAGACGCTGTTGATGGTGATCGATTCATAGAAGCCGTCTGACGGCAGGTGGGCGCTCACGTAAGACGGTGTGCACACATCGTCAAGGGTGAGGGCTTGCACGCAGGTAAGTGCGGCAGAGGCAATCGTGGTCCAAACCGCGGAGCGCATCGACGTCTTGGGTAGCCGTAAAACCGAGCTCTTGTTGCTGATGGAAGGAAAGGCAGGACAAGTTGCTGGGTTCACGAAATCTTCGTCAAAAAGTTCTGCATCTTTATATTCCTCCCTACTGGGGATATACCAACGTAACGACTCATTAGGTGACCCATGTCGATTGGTCGTCTACCTCGAAGTTCCACAAATTGGTGGTTCAAGTCTCTGCAATCAGGCTTGACATAGAAACTTCGACCAGCGTGATGAAGGTAATGCAAGACTCATCACGTTCATCCGTGATTCGCGTAATGATTTGTTGATCAGGTCTCAATGCGGAACAGTACCCGTGATGCTCTCCGAGAACACCCCCGCAAATGTGGAGATGCTGCGGGTTGAGATCGAGGCGGGCCCTAAAGCAGGCATCAGTGCCAAGGAAGGACGGGCCTTGTAATATTGCGTCCACGCGTCCACATACCATCGTACTATGGTGTTATGGGTAAGTTTTCAATTGTGTGTTTGTACCGTGCCCCACCTTGGCACGCGCTAACTCTTGGCATATGCATCCAATACATTTTACTAGTACTTTGTATGCATTCCGTTGGCCGCGATCACCGCTTCGCACCTCTCTGGCATTGATTTCAAAAGCTCCTGTAAGTAGCTCTCAGGTAATTCATCCCAAGCCTCCTTTACCCATATCCGAAGACGATCATAGCTAGGCTTTCAGTAATACCGTATTTATCTTCAATGTAGTCCTTCATCCAGTTCCAGCACATCTCTATCGGGTTTAGATCAGGGGAATAAGGTGGCCACTGGACTATATTAATGCCCCTATCCGTAAGATCTGTGACTGTATCAATTGCCGAGTGAGCGGGAGCGCCGTCCTGCATTAATGTAAGGTGTGTACCGAGGTCTCGTTGACAGAGTTGTATCCAGCCATCGATAATAGGAATTGTGTGGGATCGATATGTCTCGGCAGTAATAGAACCCCAATCCTTTTCCCAGAAGATTCCCGGTCCTTTTCCAAGGCCTGAGAAACAGCCCCAGAACATCCAGCCTTGTTTATGTTGGTGTCGTTCGATAATACAGGTCGGGTCCCATTCCTCTCCTGGTCGTCGTGTAACGTACTGTTTTCGATGGTGTCCTCCTGTAATCCATGTCTCGTCGGTCCAAAATACCTGAGCCCATTGCTCTGGTGTCCAGCTGACATGTTCGAGGGCCCAGGCGAGGCGCTTTTGTCGGTTAACTTCTGAGATAGGAGGCTTTCGGCGCGCAGTATGTCTCTTGAATCCGAGCCGGCGGAGGGTAGTTCGTATAACGTAAAGTCCGAAGAGGGACTGGAAAAGGATGATTGACAACTGGAGGGATGAGGCTCTACGGCCTTGCTTAGAACTAGTTACATATGTAACGAGCTCTTCTTGCTCACGAGATAAAGTCCGGGGTCTACCAGATCTCTTAGCTACCCGGCTTGAAGAGTCCTTAATAGCTGTCTTGGTCTGATTAAGAGAAAATGTTGTAATAGTATGAATTTCGGCTTTCGATTTACCACCGTCGAAATAGAGGGTTCGAATTCGTTGGCGATCGGCTTCCGTAAGGTGTTTAGTCCCCATTGTGGTTACTGAAACGCGATAATGAGGACGCGTTATTGACAGCAAGTTGGAATCAGAGGTGGAAGTACCTTTTCGTTGGCATGAGTAGGCTAGGCCAGAATTAGTATAGCGTTGCCTTGGCAGTGGTCCACTGGTACTTGTCAGGGGGTGAAAACTTTGGCCTGATACCGTAGTAGTTTATCCTTGAGCAATTTTCGGTCGAAGCTTCTTATTTACAGTTGGCCCTGTCCTATCATCCTATACTAACCAGTCCTAATGTCTGCCTATGAAACAAAGCAATCTTAGCCTCTAAGCTAGCCGAAAGAATTCATCTCGATAACTCCGTACATACCCGTCAGCCTATATATCCCTTATGAGAGCTAAATAAGCGGAGCAGGGTTAGTTAGTAATACTACATCACTACTAAATTAGTATTGTAGCGGGGTAAGGCCGGACGCCAGGGAAAATAGGTGACGGAATGGGGAGGATCTTTTGCTTTGATGAAGGAGGCTTGTGGCTGCAACTTTCTTTTCGAGGACGGACCCTTTTTAATGACTTCTTCATCTTTTCGATTCGACAAGCAATAGTTAGGTGTCAGAGAACAGAATGCCATAGGCACCAGTGGGTGTCAGGACACTGAACGCAGGACACCGGTGGGCCGCCGGAGGGGTGTTTCGGACAAAAGACTCCCGAGTCATGATTACAATCTATGTGAAGCTTTGGGATGACGAGAGTCAAGATCCTTGGCATCGCCGACCCTGCTGTTATGCCGGGTCCAAGCGGCGGCCTAGCTATCTATATAAGGACCATCTCGAAGTAGGATAGGGAAGGAGTTGTCAGAGCCACAAGTGTCATCCGAGGCGGGCCGGCTTCCACCAGGTAGGAAGCCGTTTGTGGCGGCTAGAGAGCCGCTTGTGGCGAATGAGAGCCGTTGAAGCCGTTTGCAACGGATAGGGAATCGCTTGGTTGCAGATAAGGAGCCGCTGTCCAAGATATTGGCCGAAGTCGGAGGAACACAGACATACGGAAGCAAACATCCAGAATCCAAGAGAGAACCTCGGCTGGCTATAAGTAAAGAGTCGAGACGGAGGAAGATAGAGAGGGCAGAGATCAATGCATCACCGTCGGCACCCCTACCTGAGACCGCCAGTGACCACCCGGTATTACGTAGGAGGGACGCCCGTTACTCCCCATCACTCTGTACTATTGCCTTCGGCCTAGCCGTACCCTGACACTTTCGCACTTTTCTTGGCACCTTCAAGTAATTCAGTAATATCCTATGCATAACCCGCATTTTATCCTTTAAATTACTCAAAATCTTCTTCATTATCAGTTTCTACTTCTATTGAACAAGTTCTTGCATTATGTCCAGTCCCTCCGCAAATACCACAGCGCCTTATACCGGTCTGCCGGCGCTTTACAGGACGACTGCTTTCCCCTTCTTCCTCCTCCATAACCTTGATTTCACCCCTCAAGACCCGTAAAACTTGTGCATCACCTATACTAAGTGCTCCTCCATATTGGATTTGCTTATTTTTCGTCCTACGACGCTTACTTAGTATATGGTTCGTCTCACGAAGCTCTTCGTTCTCCCGACGTAATGATGCATTCTCATGCATCATTGCATGCGTAGCCTTTGTAATCGAGTTAATTGAGTTCAAAATATGCGTCGGCGAGCTGTCTTGATGCCTCTGGACGCTACTTTTAATCAAAGTTGACTGCGATTCGGCTTCGAGGGTGTTGGTAGGCGTCTTAGAAACCCAGACGGAGGGAGGCAATTGGGGGTCGGGTGTTGGTGTTCGTACTACTTTTGCGATATCCAACGTAGATATGACCCTATCCGGTTTAAAAGGAACAAGTCCAGCTGCTTCGAATCCTGATCTGATGTTTTTTTCGTGAAAAGCACCAATGAAAGCTTCTAAAAACCCAGCTAAGAAATCCTGCTTCTCAATATGGGTTTGATGCCTTCGCATTAAACCCTCCACGAACGCACCGTACAGCCGTTTCAACACACTAAAAGGTACCAAATCCAAAGGCTGGAGCTTGTGGGATGAATGGGAAGGCATACACAATGTAATTACGCCGCGCGCCGCGAGGTAAGTCTCAAAATCCATCGAGTGGTGGCTCTCGTGACCATCCAATATTAAGAGACTTTTCGCACCCTTCCGACGGCTAATAATATGTTGAACAAAGTGTTTTGCCCATTCCACACCAATATTATTAGTAGTCCAACCGTTATGGGAAAGGTCAACCTTCCAGTTGGTCGGTAAGTCGTTACCACGATACCACGAAGCAAGATGAACCTTGCCCGCGAAGATGATGTACGGCAGTACCGCCCAACCTTGCGAATTAATAGCCTGGATCACCGTAACCCATTCCCGACCTCCTTGTGTAGCCTGTCTAGGCCGTCCGTGTCTTTCTGCACTCGTTACAACCATACCGGTTGTGATTATGCCCATTAGGAAGCCCGTCTCGTCAAAGTTGTAGATATCCTCCGGTAGGATACCGTATTTAGCGATTGTGTCCCTAACAAGCAAACCACGCGTAATACGCGATAGGATCTTCGCTAAATACCCTCTGGTAATCAATTCGACGGTTTCAACGCGTTCGGAGGTCTTGTCGGCGGTTAACGAAGTTCGTGGTCCAGTTCTTGCCGACGGGGGGCGGGTCGCGTACGCGTCGTAGGATATTCGCCATTTCTTCAATGTATCGAAGCCGAGGAGGAAATGCTCGCGCATCTAGCTCAATTATACGTCGGGCAATCGTATCCTCTTCGGTTTGAGTTAGATTTCGTTTTAACATATTAGCTTCGTGTCGCGTTTGGTCGCCGTCGAATCGATTCTTTAGTGTACGGTCGCAAACGTTGTAGATACGGCCAAGCTTACGCCATGAAATTTCAGGGTTGCGCTTTTTAGCTTGGATAGCTAGCTGAAGATCGGCTTTGATACGTGACCCCATGGGGGGTTACCCTATAGCTACAGATAAGACAGATAAGATAAGATAAGAGCTATAAAAGAGCTCTGCCAGGCCAGAATAGCTGACCTGGCCATCCTTTTCCAATACAACAATTCACACCCCATATGCACTCGCATCAGGCTTCTTTGGATTTACGAGGCATGTTGTGGGAGGGAAGAAAAGTGCAAGCTAAGTTAAAAGGTTGAAATATTTGAAAAAGTGCGAAAGTGACTTGTGTGCGAAAATGACTTGTGGATCACGTTATTTACTACTTACTAACTTACTTATGAAAGGAAAGAGTGATCCTAAAAGGAGAGGGTAACGAATTACCCATCTAGTTAGATTAGTTAACGACCCGATAAGGGAGGCGCAGCTTAAAGGCGCCTAGTAATGACACGGGGTCAGGCGGTCAGTAGGATATACCTACCACCTAACACACTGAACAGACGGCTCCAGTACCAACAGATCCCATCTGTTGGTCTTATCAGACGAAGATCGTGGTACTGGTTATAAGAGTGAAGCTCTTATACGTCTGGTGCGCGAGTTGGTCGGATGTGCCTCTGATACTCGTATCGTGATAATAGGATCTCGAACGTAAAGATAAGCTGAATAACTAAAATAACTAAATAACTGACTGAAAAGCGAAGGTGAAGATATAGATAAGGAGATGATGATATGAAGATGAGGATGATGATGCGTGAAGATGAGGGACTCGTGTCCTACTCTGCCTCTGTGCCTCTTAAAGAAGAGAAAATAAACTTTCCCCTAGCCCCGTAA